GTATTTATCACATTCATAATGCACTGTGTGAGGATCTTGCTTGCGCGCAATTAGGTCTGTGACTACATGTGAATCCTACTGCCTATTGATATTTTGTAACACCTGTCACTTTGTTGGACTTCTACTAAATGCATTACAGATCTAAGATCTCGTAGATATGGTTTGTCATGATTGTTTTCAATCTTCAGTCATTTCGCATTAAATTTTACGTGACCTCTCCTCTCGCGTAGTCAACAAGTAATAGCCATCATCATTGTTTATGTGTCATCATTGTATTGTATTGCGACCACCTGACCCAGTGTGAGCAATTTGAATGATAGATCAGTGTGTGCCTTGGGACCGTGTGCCTTATATGTGTGTCGCCGGTTTACCAAAGTCAATGCGTTGAATGAATGCTACTTGTTATTAAACAATTAAGGAAGAGGTCAAATCGTGTCAGCGATGTCTTGTCATACGCATGGCTTGTAGGGCTTAGATCGGTAGAGTAGCTTTTGTGCCCGTCTTTGCTTGGTTAGCTAGTCGAGTTACAGATAGTTGGTAATGGGTCGATCTGAATTGCTACGGTCGGTCAAGGCATCTTCGGATCGGACTTTGCATCTTAGCCTCTCCATTTTTTCAATTATCCCGCTTCTGGTAGCACATTTGGGTGCCTCTTGAGGTTCATTACTGGGTAACATCCGTCTACTGGACCGGTCTATACTTTTTGACCGCCCTATTGCTAGCGGTATCTGCAAACTACAACAACTGTGTATCAAACTTTGTTGGGTTAATCGCACGTAAATCCCCCTTAGTAGCTCACATTGTAACTTATTCTTGATTGTGACAGACATGCCACCTGGATGAATTTTTTTTCCACTCTTTTACCCTCAGACTCACTAATTTCGCTCAGAAAAAATATCCGCCAAAGTTTCACTAAGGATAAAAACGGCCAACCAAATTTCATTCAGAGGGCTATATGCCAAAATCAAACAACATTATCATAAGTTCTTAAGCAGGATACTATGTGAGGTCTATGTGCAATTAAACCTTATAGTGCAGGTTAATTGGATTGTTAGTCACTATTTTATCTTCTAATTGGACCTCCACACCTATTACCTATTTTTTTATTTGCTTGGAAGACAATACATGTAATTAGCTACTAAAAAGATTGTTAGTAATTTCTAATATCTTTTGTCAATTTAAGTTGAACATTTTCATTTGTTTTTAAGCAATACAACTTGCTCAATATATCATAAATTAATATTTCCACAAACAAACTGCCAAATGCAATATGATTACCCAGTAATAGTTGCCCAACATGTACATAAAGGAATCAATCTACTATGTCAATGATCAAGACCTTTTTTTATATACATCTCACCAAAATCTCTTATGTTAACTGACAAAAAAATTTAGAAATGACTGGCAATCCAATTACTAATTTAATTATATGACCAATCATCCAAGGAACTAAACATAAGTGTGAAGGTCCAATTAAGATATTAGGTGACAAACGATCCAATTAACCCTTGTCCTCAAAGAAATTATGCAATCGCAAAGAGACAATCAAGATTAAGAAAGAGAACTTGCTAGCAAATTCTCAAAAATTAATTTCATAGATCTCTTTTGAACAACACCATTTCCATTTAACCGTCATAATCACATCAAAGCACTACTGGACCACATTAGGAGCTGGAGACCTGCACACTGTTAGCTTGTTGAGGAGTTGCCGGTTAGGAGTGTAGCATACAATATAACATTGAAAATTCAAGTCATCATTCATGAAACTCATTCACGGAGTGGCCACATTTTCCTTTGCAAGGGGAGCAATTTCCTCGCCATCAACTCCTGGCTCGCTGCCAGCTACATCTAGGCTCAGAAGCATTTGCTCCCATTCCTTTGCAGGACCCTGTAATAAAACATCAATGGCAAGCAGACGAAAATCACGATCACAATCTAACTATGAAACCAAAAAAAATCTAAAGGTTTGTTTAATCTTTACTAGCATTTGGCGCACCTGATGCATGCAGAATGTTCGGGAGTGTCTATCGAATTGTCAAGGAACAAACAACTTGTTTCTATTATTATTATTTGAATGTTTCCATCTCTGAGGGCATTTTCATTGATTTCTTCATGGGTGTAGGGGTATTTTTGTTGATTTTTCCAAGTGTGATGGCATTTTCATTGATTTTTCAAGGAGTGAAGGTATTCACACTGATTTTTTCCAAGTCGAGGGCATTTCCTTTTTCTTTTCTCCCCCGTTTTTTCCCTTTACAATATGTGAGGGCATTTCCTTATTCTTAAAATGTGACACTCAAACCTAAACAAAGTTCGCTTAAATAGATAGTATAGATTTGATTAGCTACTTACCTTCCATGAAAGATCTTGGGCCATGCAGCTCTGAATCATCTCTCTGAAGAGAGGTGTAGCGTAGACTTTAAGAGCTCTTTTGACAGTTGAGGCAATTGCTGCTATGTCAGCTGCATCAACGGCATCACACTAGACAAAGAAAAAAGAAAAAAAAAGACCATGAATTAATTGGTAAGAATATGGTGAATAATTATTACAAGAAGGGTACACTGACCTCAACATTGAAGGCACCCATATGGAATCCAGTGACCATGTCTTTTACAGTGTCCACAAGACCCCCTGTGGAGGAACAGATGGGAAGCTGCAACACATTTTTTAGAAGTTCAGCAAAGATTTCACTAGTGTATATACAAATTCTGGACTATCCAAACTCCTAATTTATCTAGATATACAAGAACCAATCTAGGGGAAAAAGTCTAACAAAAATCATGCGTGAAAATACTCAATGACACATTTAACTACTAGGACAACTTACGAAATGACAGGAAATCAACTTATAAAGGGTGTGCTATTGATTACTACATTAATCGTATGCAGGATTAGCTTTGTGTGGTGATTTATTAGGACATCCCAAAATGCATTAGGATGCCAAAAAATCCTAACTAGGCCTTCCTCATACAAAAAAAAGGTAATCAATAATTAATTTAGACATAGAAAAGTTCTTATTACTATAACAATAAAATTAAATAACGTAGTTGTCATTGTTAGGAAAAGATGAGGATGATTAAATTAACTTTTCCCTCCCTTATAAATAAAGTTGATTAATAATAATCAAATGATCAAAAGAAGAAACCAACATTTTTAATGTGGAAAACAATTTAACTAAAGGTATAAACCATGGGACTTGGTCTAAAAAAATCTTCCATTAGAAAAATAATGGATACACAAAGTTTCTTCCCTAGGAATTTGCGAGAGGTACTTTTCATAATGGATACACAAAGTTTCATCCTGAACTTACAACAGGTAATCTAACAGCAAGTAGGGAAGAAAAGAGAACTTCTACACCAAGAAGGAACACAAAAGGCCAGGTTGAAAACACACTCTCTTATCTCTCTTTTTTATATCCTTTCTCTCTCCCTAGCTCTACTTGTTGCTTCTTCTCCTTAGTATGCTCTTCACTCGTGGGAGCAATGAGCATTTATAGACAAAATATTTTGATGTGGAAGTAAACAATCCTTTATTAAAGATGTTGGGCTATGAGTAGCTTGTGGATTTAAAACTTTGACCTGCTATTATCTCATCTTTCACTTTTTCCACCAAAATTTGCATGTGGTTTCACTGACCCATAATTTTTGTACAATTCTCCGCTTTTGGCTGTTTGGGTAGAGATATTCATGCTAGCTTCGAGCAGAGGTCAAACCCATCCATTAGAACAACATTTATCATCATATTTACAAGATTCCTGTCAATATGGATCTTCTGTAGCAACTTATGCTTCTCTTTCATTACATCTCGCAACTACTCATATCTCATATTCACTGTTTTAAAAAACCTCCGCCTAGTCCGCTTAGGCGTACGCCTAGGCCTAGGCGGTACATAGGCCGCCTAACTAGCGCCTAGCGCCTAGGCGGTATTTAGGCTACCCACCTAGATTTTATGAGCGTTTAATGGAGCATTGTCTGTTTACGTGGATTGCACCCTGTAGGCCTTGATTGTGATTTTATGTATCGTAGCCTACACGTCATCCAAACTCCATTAACCTCCAAATATGAACACCTCCACTACCTCCTCCGACCTTCAACAAAACCTCATCGCCATTAACCTCCAAATATGAACACCTCCACTACCTCCTCCGACCTTCAACAAAACCTCATCGACCACCACTTAAATGCACTACCTCCTCCGACCTTCAACAAAACCTCATCGACCACCACTTAAATGAAGAAAGAAAAAAAAACGTCCAGAAACCGCTTAGACGCCCGCCTAGGCGACTAAGCGCTGGGCGCCATGTCCGATGCCTAGAAGTGTCCAGCGTTTAATGTAACATTGCTCACATTAATGTACTTCGTCCGAGAATGACATACTATTTTTGCTGACATCAATAATGCTTTAACTATCATAGTATATGATGTACTCATCCTGCTTCAAGCCCAATTCCTGAAGAAACATTTTGATCAGATTATCAACATACATCCCCCTGCAAAAGGAAATAAATATCCAGATGAAGATTTTGATTATCGAGATCACTTCCCATGTCTGCATTTGCATAACCTTCTAGAATTGGTTTGGAATATTCAAATGTCAAGTAGAACATTGAAATGTCCTTCAAGTATCTACGAATCTACTTCACTGGTTCCCAATATTCTCTTTTAGGATTGGACATATATCTACTCAATACACCAACTACATAAGGAATGTTCAACCGTATGCATAACATACCATGCATAAGACTCCCAACCCCAACCAATGAGTATGAAACATTCGTTGTTTCTTTATTTGCCTCCCTGACAACTCAGCTCGCAATGATTTGAGTTTTTAGTTTTCTGCTTGATCTTTTGCTCTTAGAAAGTCTCACCAACTCAAATGTATCATTCTTATTAAACGATTGTTGTGTGGGGTCGCTCCTATACGGAGGATGACACACAAAATTTATGGGTTAGTGAAACTGGCATTCAAGCTTTGGTGAAAAATGTAAAAGATGAGAAGTGATAAATCAAAGTTTGAGAACTTCCAGCTACCCATGTCTCGACTTCTTTAACGAAGGATTGCTTACTTTTGAATTAAAAAATATTGTCTTTATATGCTCCTCACTCCTCCAGTTAAAGAGCAAACCAGACAGAAGAAGCAACAAACAAAGTTGATAATCATATTTTTATTACAATTTTATACCCTCATTATCTATTTTACATGAATAAATATACCACTAATTTTATACCCTCATTATCTATTTTACATGAATAAATATACCACTAATAATTATTTTTATCTTTAATTGCAGGTTAATGAAGAAATAATGAATAAAAACCCAAAAGACTCCAACTTACTCATTTTATAACCTTTTATTAAAGCCTAGAATCAAGCCGAGTAGCCTGTAGAAGCTAAAGAAAATCAAAAATCCAATATGAAAATAAATCATATTCAAAATGGTTGGCCGCAAAAAAACAACGATATCTTCCAATCCGGAAGGAGGAATTTAACATATAATATATGAAAATCGTCTATCTCGACAAGACGAAGCTACCGTGAAGTCAGTTTTTATTGGAGCATCGATGCCCGCATTGATTATTAAAGCATCGATGCTCTGCATCGATGTCAGACGTTCTGTTATGCATCAAAGTCTGAAAATGGATTGTTTTGGATAAGATTTCGATCCAATGGCTCACATTCACTGATGTTTACTATAAATAAGGGTAGAGAGTGAGGGGTTAGAGGGGTGAAAATTTTTATAACTCCATTTGGAGAGGAGGGTTACTCTTAATTGATAAGACCTTCCAAATTTGTAACTTTTTGTTATAATTAATAAAAGAATTTTTTTCATCACTTTAAATTTTTTTTCTTCTCTTTGTTGGATGATGAAGATGGAGATGGAGATCAATTTGAATGTTTGTTTTTATTTTCTCTTTTATTTCTTTTTATTGCTTATTAGTCTAGATTTATTTTCATGTTTGTAGTTAGATTTTATTTTCTTGCTTAAATAGCCAAGAGGCTAGAACCATCTTACCTTAGATTTATTTCATGGTTATAGAGTAGATTTATTTCATGCTTATAGAGTTGATTTATTTTCTCGTATTTAATTCTTATAATTTATTTTGTAGTTTAGTTTTTACAATTTATTTTATAGTTAGATTTTATAATCTTGCACTATTCACCTTGAGGCTAGAACCCTCTTGGGATTAGTTTTTTTTTTGTTCATTTTTATTTTCTTTGATTCGCCTTGAGGCTAGAACCCTCTAGGAAATTACATTTTCTAATAAGTGGATTCAATTCTAGATTTCTCATATCTTTAATTGAATCCTCCATCTTTATTTTCTTGAATTTTCTTTTTATTCTTGATTTTTCTTTTTGTTTCTTGATTTTATTCATCTTTCTTTATCTCCTTGTGAAAATCATTCATACTTTGTCACACCCACTCTTACTTACATTTTGTGCCTATTTACACACTATCACCTTTATTATCTCTTCACAATCACATTCACTCATCACTCCTATTTGTCATGCACACAACATAAGAACCGATTTATATTTTCTCCTACAAAACACCTTCGTCGTGAGATCGATAAATTTTTATACTATAACTTGACACGATTATGCACTTGTAACAATTTTGGTACATGTTTATGCCGCATCAAGTTTTTGGCGTCGTTATCGGGGAAGGTGCTTAAGTAGGATTTTTTATTATTTTGGTTCTTTAACTTGTGTGTTTCTTGTGAAATAACTACTTGGAGATTAAAGATCAAGAATTGGAGATTGAGGAATTGGAGATTCGCTTGTGGTAAGTCTTCTTCCTAATATTTTTAATTCCACACATTTAGTTAGTTTCTCACAATTAGTGACAATTAGGATCTTAAAAAAAAAATTATTTTCGTGAACATAATAAAATTCACCCTTCACTTTGATATTTACTAACAAGATAATAAATTCAAACAAATTCCCCCCTTCTCATTTGTTTGATTGTTAACCCTAATTAAAAAAATTATATTTACCATCTTTTTTAGTCGCTTTTAATTCCTAGGGTTGTATTTCATATAGTTAGTAAGAATTCACCAAAGTGATTTGAGTATCTTGATTTGGCACACACTTGAAAATATTCTTAAGGGCAAAACCCCCTAATCAAGATAAGGTGAGAGATTTCATCACCATTTTCTTAGCCCAAAAATCACTAATTCCTCACTACACAACCCAAGCCTAATAAAACTAATTAGACGTTGTCCCTAAGAAATCGAGCTCAATAAGGAACAAAAAATCTTTAAGTGAACTGGTTTATGTTTTCTTGGATTAGTTGGTGTCTAAGACAAGGTTTAAGGGTTGCGTAAAGCGCTCTGTAAGGAATGAGGTACTTAATCGATCTCTGATCAACCTCTGTTCCTATCCTTACCTGGCTAACTAACCGAGTAAAACTTTTATCTTTTCACTTAAAGAATTTTTGGTTAGGAGCTAGTCTAGCTGAGTTAGGCTTAACCCTAGAGTTAAAGTGATTGAAAAGTGATTGATTGTTTTTATTTGTTTTAGTTACGTTTTTTCTTCTTCCTTTTTCTTCTAAAAAAACAAAAAAAAAAACTAATGTTTTCCCTCTTTATAAAAAAAGTATAAAAAAAAATTGTGTTGGGTGCATGCAAACGTGGATTAAGGATTATACACATCGACAAATTCGTTTTGAACAAATAGCTAATCCACATGTTTTTCAAAATTTATGTTATCCCAATAGGAATGAAATCCCCAATGAAGCTTGGAAGTTTTTAGAGAGCCTATCTGAGAGAACCATACACTGCGATGATAATGTTAACGCTGCATTTCAGTACTCTGTGAATGATCCATACACTGCGATGAAATTGTGTTAGTTGCATTTTTTATTTCTTTTTCTTTCTTAAAAAAATATAAAAATATTGTCACTTGCCAAATTGATAGAGTTAAGTAATAATTGATTTATTTGATAAATTTGAAATTTTCTAATCCCTAATTGGTTATTTACTTAAGTTCACCTTTTATGATAACTCTAAATAAATTTCTTAAGAAATGATTTTCAAAGTAGTATACTTTACTTAAGTCTTAACTTGGACTTTTATTTAAAATAATAAAATTTTTGCATGCTTAGCTTAGAGTTGAAAATAATTTTTCAAAGTGTCTTGATTTACATATTTTTCAGAATATATATACATATATAAAAAAAATAGCATTACAAAAGAAGAGTGCGTAAAATGGGCACAAAAAAAACTCTTGAATTTAAGGTGATTCTATCTTATAAAGCCTAAGCTGACCGAGTAATTAAACCCAAAGAGTATTTCTATATTTAATGACCTAAGCCCAATTGGGTTAGGATCCATTGGCCCAAAACTCGTTAAATGGTCATTTAGAAAGCCCGTTAAAGTAGAAAAAAATCACCAAGGAAGAAAGAGTTAAAAAAATTAATAATAATAATAAAATACTAACAAATGTTATATATATAGTATATACGGCCTTGAAAAATATTTCTGATCAAGCAACTTGAATATTATTTTAAACAAAGAGTTAGCATGTTCTTTTCAAAACTTTTAAATTAAATTTCTAAGTTTGGCTTGGTTTCGTATTGCAATAATGAGAAGATTTTCTAGAAAATTCACTTTGGAGTTATATATAAAAACGTTTTTTTGAGTAATAACTAGCTTCAATTAGATTGTCTAATTTTATCAAGTAATTTTAGTTATTTACTGACCTCTTTAAATTAGCAAGATGACGGAATTTTGTGGGTATATTCACTGCAAACCCTCACGAGACTACAACTCGTCCACTAGGGTAACCTAGGGGTTAAAGGCTTGTTGTATGCGCTAAATACAACCGCGATTCCTACAAAAGTGAGTTAGGATTTTTCTTTCTTTGCTAGAGGACTAGCAAAAGTTTAGGTGTGGGGGTATTTGATAATCATATTTTTATTATAATTTTATACCCTCATTATCTATTTTACATGAATAAATATATCACTAATAATTGGTTTTATCTTTAATTGCAGGTTAATGAAGAAATAATGAATAAAAGCCCAAAAGACTCCAACTTACTCATTTTATAACCTTTTATTGAAGCCTAGAATCAAGCCGAGTAACCAGTAGATGCTGAAGAAAATCAAAAATCCAATATGAAAAGAAATCATATTCAAAATGGTTAGACGCAAAGAAACGATGATATCTTCCAATCCGGAAGGCGGAATTTAACATATAATATATGAAAATCGTTTATCTCGACAAGACGAAGACAACCGTGAAGTCAAAGTTTTTATTGGAGCATCGATGTCTGCATCGATGTCAGACGTTCTGTTATGCATCAAAGGCTAAAAATGGATTGTTTTGGATAAGATTTCGATCCAATAGCTCATATTCACTGATGTTTACTATAAATAGGGGTAGAGAGTGAGGGGTTGAAGGGGTGAAAATTTTTATAACTCCATTTAGAGAGGAGAGTTACTTTTAATTGAGAAGACCTTCTAAATTTATAACTTCTTGTTACAATTAATAAAAGAATTTTTTCACCACTTTAAAATTTTCTTTTCTTCTCTTTGTTGGATGATGAAGATGGAGATGGAGATCAATTTGAAGGTTTGTTTTTATTTTCTCTTTTATTTCTTTTTATTGCTTATTAGCTTAGATTTATTTTCATGCTTGTAGTTAAATTTTTTTTTCTTGCTTAAATAGCCAAGAGGTTAGGACCCTCTTGCCTTAGATTTATTTCATGCTTATAGAATAGATTTATTTTCTCGTATTTAATTCTTACAATTTATTTTGTAGTTTAGTTTTTACAATTTATTTTATAGTTAGATTTTATTGTCTTGTACTATTCACCTTGAGGCTAGAACCCTCTAGAGAATTACATTTTCGAAGAAGTGGATTCAATTCTAGATTTCTCATATCTTTAATTGAATCCTCCATCTTTATTTTCTTGAATTTTTTTTATTCTCGATTTTTCTTTTTGTTTCTTGATTTTATTCATCTTTCTTTCTCTCCTTGTGAAAATCATTCATACTTTGTCACACCCACTCTCACTTATATTTTGTGCCTATTTACACACTATCACCTTCACTATCTCTCCACAATCACATTCACTCATCACTCCTATTTGTCATACACACAACATAAGAACCGATTTATATTTTCTCCTACAAAACACCTTCGTCGTGGGATCGATAACTTTTTATACTATAACTTGATTGATTGTGCACTTGTAATTTTTGGGTATATGTTTATGCCGCATCAAAAGTCTAAGGAGAGAGAAAAGAGACAAAAAAAGAGAAAAAAGAGAGATAAGCGAGTGAATATGTTTCCACCACAGTCTTTTGTGTTCTTCCCAGGTGTAGAAGAAGTCTATTTTCTTCCCTACTTATTGTCATCAACATTGTTTTAAATATCGGCCGATAATCGATATTATCGGCCGAGTTATCGGATTTGGGAGCTCTCCGCTAGGATAAATTGGATTTTTAATCGGTTATCGTTTTTCTAGGTTTATCGGCGATTTATCGGCGTTATCGGCACTTATCGGCCGATAAGTAAGACTTTTTTATCGGGATTATCGGCCCATTTTGATTAACATTATATTTTTTTCAAGGCTATAATGCAAGTTTCGCTTTCTACAATTGGTTAATGATTCTAAACATGATGATTTACATTTTGGTATGTTTATATTTCATTAAGCATGATTAGATTATATTTTTTAATTGTTATATTATATATACACATCATCCAGTATATTACTCCGATAAATACTACTTATCCCCGATATATCCCCGATTTCCGCTATCCGATAAGGATTTTGTCCGTCCGATAAATCCCCGATAACCGATATTTAAAACCTTGGTCATCAATAAAAACTACAACAAGCTTATTCAAGTGCTCCTCATGCTCTTCTCAGTTCTTCGAATATACCAAAATGTCATAAATGAAAACTACGACAAACTTATCCAAATATTGGGCAAAGATCTGATTCATCAAAGCGATGAACACAAGGGGCATTGACCACTCTAAAAGGCATAACCAAAAACTCAAAGTGGTCGTATTTGGTCCTGAAAGCAGTCTCTGGTATATCCTCCTTCACTTGGAGTTAATGATACCCTGACCTTAGGTCTAACTCGAAACACACCATGGTTCGTCATAACTAGTCAACAAATCATCTATACGAGGGATAGAGCACTTATTCTTGATCGTAAACTCGTTCAGCTACCTTTAATCTACACTCATGCCCTCAGTTCCTTCATCCTTACTAGTAGGACTGGTGCTCCCTACAATGAAGTAGGACGAATAAACCCCTTCCTCTGGTAATCCTCCAGTTGCTCTTTGAGCTCTTCCAACCCCTTCAAGGGAATCCTATACGTCAGCTTAGATATGGTTAATGTCCTTGACACGACATCGATAGAGAACTCTATGGTACAGGGTGGTGACAACCTAGGTTAATCCTTAGGAAAGACATCCAGGAACTAGTGTACCGTAGGTGGAATCAGCCTCTCGTCTATGGGTCCAAAACTTTGTAATTTTCTTTCCTACTTATCGTTGTTGTACATATAGCACATTCCTAAGGACAACTTTATGTATCCATTATTTTCATAGTGGAAGATTTTTTTAGACTAGATCTCATGGTTTTTACCTTTAGTTGAAGAGTTTTCCATGTTAAAAATATTGATGTCCTCCTGAGATATTCCTTTGGTCATTTGATTGGTGTTTGCCTTATTCATTCATTTTATTTACAGGGAAGCAGAAAAATCAATTCAATCATCCTCGTTTTTTTTTCCCAGCAGTTGCACAACAACTATAAGGAAAAAGATTAGACGCAAGAAACACGGAACATACCGTTCCATAACGCATGCCTTGCAACTGAATCAAACCACATGGTTCAAATCTGCTTGGGATGATAATATAATCAGCTCCAGCTATCATCATGTGAGCCAGCGGGACATTGAACTTAGCAACTCCTCTAGCCTTGGTTGGATATTTCTCTTCTAATTCTTCAAGCTGCTTCTCCATCTTCTTCTTTCCAGTTCCCTGTAAATTCCAAAATTGGTTGACAATATAAGAAATACATGAAAAAGAAGTAATTGAATCAAGTTCCACTACTTACAAGAACTATTATCTGAACATTTTCGTCGATGAACTCTGGAATTGCTTCTGCTAGAATATCCGAACCCTTTTGCTCTTCTAATCTTCCAATGAAAACTATGACAGGAATGTTCCTATCTACAGGTAATCCAACTTCTGCTTGCAATGCTTCTTTGTTTAGAGACTTGCCCTCTGTCACCTGTGAATGACTTTCCATGAGGATGAAGATTTGAAAAAGATAGAAATGCACAAACTAAGAATAACTCACTGTTGCTTCATCGTATTTGGCATCAATGTATTTATCCTTCATTGGATTCCACTCCTGAACATCCATCCCATTCACAATCCCAGTGATACCAGTCATTCTTATAATATTGTCCAATTCCACACCTTTGTCTTCTCCTGAGATTAGTTCTTGGGCATAATGGGGACTAACAGTAACAACCCTATCTGATTCAATTATTCCAGCCTTCATCCAATTTATTTTCCTTCCTTTCACAGGTATGTCGTAGCTGAAGGAGAGATATCACTTGAAACTATCATAAGCTGGTTTTCATTTCATTTTCTTAACAAAATATCTCTTGAGAATACTAACCCATCCATAAAATCAAATGAAGATTTAAATCGTTCTGGAAGATTAAGAAGTGAGAAATCTGAGAAGGCAAATCTTCCTTGGTAGGCGATATTATGAATGCAGAAAGCAACCTAAAAGTCATGAAGAACCACATATTGATTAGCAGTAGTTGCTTGATTGGCTATAGAACATAATGCTAATATTAGAAAGAAGGTTTACCTTGGCATTCTTGTATATACCTTTTGATTTATACATACTCTTTATGTAACATGGAAGAAGAGCAGTATGCCAATCATTAGCAACAAACACCACATCTTCTCCTGCAAGTGAGTGATGCAAAAGAATCGCGATGTTGAACATACTAGGCCTGATAATTATTAAGCAGAAAATTAAAAGAAAAGAAGGGAAATTACCGTATGGTCCAGAAAAATATTCATTTGTGAGATTCAAAATTCTCGGAGCTTCCAAAGCTGCCTGGAATCAATGAAAACAAGTCAGCAGAGAGGAAAAAACAGTGGTGAAGTGTACCCTTAATCTACATATCATAATATAATGCTAGCAAAATGACTTTGTAAGGAAACTCGAACAAATCTCAGTTCTCCATGCAGAAACAGAAATTTTGATGTTCTTCTTGCACAGTCCAGAATCACAATTAATTCTACAGCCATGCAGTGGCAGGTAATCACAGAAAGACACTGCTGGCTTGACCATTAAATACTTTTAATTTGTATATTAAGAATTAATGGTAATATCCACTGTTTTAAAAAACCTCCGCCTAGTCCGCTTAGGCGTACGCCTAGGCCTAGCGGTACCTAGGCCGCCTAACTAGCGCCTAGCGCCTAGGCGGTATTTAGGCTGTCCACCTGGATTTTACGAGCGTTTATGGGAGCATTGTCTGCTTACGTGGATTGCATCCTATAGGACTTCATTGTGATTTTATGCGTCGTAGCCTACACGCCCTCCAAACTCCATTAACCTATAAGTTAACAGTAATTTGAGTTTATTGTTAACTTAAACTTAACAATAACTTATAAGTTAACAGTAATTTGAGTTGAGAATGAGTTTTTCACTGTTGAGATGAACTTATAATTTGAGTTGAGAAGTATAAACATACAAAGAGCTATTATAATTGGTAAACCAAGCAATTTAGTTAACAATGTTGATATTTTAGTATTTATGCATCTTTGATTGGGTATATATATTTATCTTCAAGTATCACAATTAAAAAAATAAAAAAGAAAAAAAACGCCCAGAAACCGCTTAGGCGCCCCCGCCTAGGCGACTAAGCGTTGGGCGCCAAGTCTGACGCCTAGAAGCGCCCAGCGTTTAATATAACATTGGTAATATCCTATAACACCATTTTCACTTGCAAGTTGGTCTCGTGCTAGAATGAGTAGGATTTTGGTTTAGGTTTAAGATTCCTTGGTATTATAAATCTCTCCTTATTGAAGATCTCTTTAATAAATGTACTTAACACCAAAATACAGAAATTGTTGAAAGAGTACCCAATATATCAATTATTGTGGATCAAAGACTATTAGCATCATTAACTGAAGACCTGCATTGTGAACGACATAGGCTCCTCGACAAACTTCTATTGTGAAGACATACTTAACCTTACTTTGATTTCAATCATCACATTGCTTGGATGTAGGATTAGTTTAATTG